AAAAGGATTTGAATAAAGTACGTAGTTTGATTATTCCTTTTCAATTTTCTATCAAGAAAATCTTGCATTCATCCAAAGAAATCATCTAATCAATCAAGGATGGTGAAGTGACTAGTCCGGTCCTCATTCAATGATGTGCCTTAACATCTTAAACAACGTCGAAGAAATGTATAATGAAGTTTATTTCCTAGCTTTTGCTCACTCAGTCAATTTATTATTTGTTTGTATTTATTTTCGTAGTGAATTTCATTTTATAAGATTCATCAACTTTATAATGTATATATAATATTTTTTAATAGATTAGCATAAACATATTTTATTTTATTAGAATAATCAAATTATTGAATAAATTGTTATACAATAATTTCTAAAAATTCCAAACTAAATGTGTGTTCAAGTTTTCTGTTTTGAAAAATAGTTTTTCAGAATAATAAACTTAACACATTTTCTGTAATTTTAAAATAGATCATCAAAACAAAAAACTGAAAATGAATTCAACGCAAAAAACCGAAAATTGAGATGCAAACCTAATTGGTCAATAAGTTAAGCAACTAGATTATAAACTTTTATTTTAATCAACACACCCCATAAGGAGTAGTGTTTATTGATTAAAAAATAATAATAATAAAGAATTACAAGCAGTCAATAGATAGACAAATTATCAAGTCGAGAAGATAGAAAGATATACTGAAAGAAACTATACCCCACTCATTCCTCCTCACAGTGAACTCGTAAATACTTCATGTGCTGCAAATTTCTATTGACTCGTCTTAACATTTCGATTTTAGAGCTTGTTTGTCTTCCATTATTGGGAGAAAATTAGTATAATGAATATTATTTTTTGAAGAATGTGTGGTTGAAAATTAAAGTAACTTTATTGGTTTGTGTGCAGAATATTTTATTGGGTGAATGTGTGGTGGAGAATATTACTGTAGCAAACAATTTTTTGGATTAATGGTAGACAAACAGAGGCTAATTAACAACTCCCTGCAAAATATTTTCTAGACAATTATTTTCCCTAGAATTCATTTTCTTTCTACCTATTTTCCACCATTACAATCAAACGGACCCTTAGGGTTTGTTTCACCATCATTTTTTTTAAAATAGAATTTTTAATAGTGATTTTTTGAAAAATATATGATTAAAAGTTAGAAAAAAATTTGAGTCTACTAAAATTATTTTATTAGGAGAATGTGTAAATAAAAATGAGTTTGAGCTAAATGATTTTTTATAGAATGAGATTCAATCAGCGATTCTAGTTCGACACTTACCTTGGTAGTCCTAGATCAAATTAATCAAGCCAAGTTATCTTACCTATTAGATAAATTTATACCTACGAATAGCATAAAATAGGAAAGAAACGACTAACGATCATTTAACAAGTTTTTGAAAAGTCAAAAGTTACTTTTAAACTGAAAAGCTACTTTTGAATATGTGCAAATAATTTCTTAAAAATTCTTTTAGAAAAAAACTGACATAATATAATTTTTTCATGAAACTCTTAGACGAAGTCGAAACCTGGCAAACAGGGGCGGACCTGGGGGGTGGCCTGGGGGGCAGGTGCTTCAACCTTTTCAACAATCCTGGACAGACTTGATTTGTGCACAGAATTACCTGAAGCTGGTCTATTTTGTAAAGCAAACTTAAACATAGAACTATATGGCCTTGTTCCTGATATAATCAAATTTTTCTGTTTTGCAATTTCAACAAGAGATGCCAGGTCTGATTTATCTGTAATGTTCTTGAATTACCCAAAATCCATAAAGAAAGTTTGGCCTTAGTCAAGGAAACATTCATCCATCTAACATCAGCAACAAATCCAAGATTGTTATAGTTAATCCCGGGTGCTTCAGATCCATCTGCTCTAACTGTTGAAAGCAGTAGGATATCAACTTCCCAGCCTTGAAAGCTGTTTTGACATAATTTAAGGTAAAGTCGTATAATAGCATATCCAAATGCACCAGAAAAGCAGATTGGGGAAAAAAATATGTGATATAAAACTGGAGGACTGGTGTTGTGAAGATCTGGGAAATAAACAGTAACATCTCATTGGGTACTGTTGCATCTACAGTAACCCTAAATGTCTCTTTTATTATAATAAGAAATTCTCTTTGAATCTTTTGTAGTTGGGTGGAGAAAATAGAGAAATCGAGATTTGATGATGGATTGATTCTGCTGGATGTCAGTGAACCGAACCGGATGGTTGAGGTTTGTTAGGGTATATTTCATTAGCCCATGTTTGATGACCATTATTTGGGAGATATAATATTTTGAATAGTAATTTTAAGAGAATGTGTAGTTAAAAAGTAGAAAAAATTTTAATTTTTACATACAAAATATTTTAATATGTAAATGTGTGGTTGAAAATGAATCCGTAGAAAAAGAAATTTTCAAATAATGGTTGTCAAACATGGGTTATAAACATTTTAAGCTTAGCCAAACATCAAACAAATAATTTCGTTTACTCTAGCGTGAACTTTTACACGAAATAATCTAACAACGTCTCTAATTACAAATATTCTTCTATTTTATTCTTTGACAACACAAAAAAGGAAAAAAATGCTACCACGAGATGGATTAATGTTCTTTAAAGGCCCTTAAAAATTAGAATATGTACATTACATGACATTTTATTTGACATTCTCTCTTATGTGAAAAAAATTTGTGCAGTGATATGATGGATTAATTTAAAATCAAGAGTGTAGATATTGACACACGAAAAAGTGTAAATGTAGCAAGGGTATAAGGATTATTGATAACAACAACAATTTCATTTACAATCACAAAGTTTTAATGATCATTTAATGTCAAGCTTATATCCACTATCTAGTAAACAAACTATTTACAAGATCATCAATTGGATGACAAGAATGAAGCAAGCAACTAATAGCACGGGCGGGTAGCGAGGACTGGATAGTATAAAATAGTACAAAAAAAAGACAAATAAAATACAATTCTATCTAATACTGTATAACAAAGGTGCACTAGCTATCTAATTTAGGGCAGTATAGTGGAGGATCTTCTCCAAGCAAAAGAGACCTCAAAATGGCTTCACAAACTGCACCGTCATAGACCAGTAAATGCCCTCCATCAGGAACTTCATGATACCTTATCCAAGGTAACCTTTTGGAGACGTATCTTTGCAATTGAACTGGCACAACTTTGTCTTCGTAACCTTGCCAGATGTGAACGCAGCTTTCCTTTTGAGGGTATGGATCAGGCAGATCCATCGGATCGAAATCCCACTTTCCAAAAGCCACCATAAAGTCCCTCCGTAGGGAGTCGAACACGCTTCGTTTCCTTAGCCTTTTCTGCTAAGAGGAAAAAAGTGTTGAAAGCAAAATATGAATATATAAATTTGTCCCATCTCTAAAAGTTCAAACTCTTAGATAAGATGGTTCAACATGATAGAGGTCCTAAGTTTAAGTCTCGATGCCACCCATTTGCAATAATTATGCACTTTTCAAACCTATAATGAAAACATGTATCTGGTCCGGATGTCACTGAGCGTGTCAAAGACTAAAATCTAAATAAATAAATGTGTGTTGCGTTTTCAAGTCTCACCGTATCCATTTATTAAAATTGGGCACATGTCAGGCTTTGGATGAAAAAAAGTGAATCTGACCTACACTTGAAGATACGTGTTGAAGATAAAATCTAGACTAGTAACTTTGTGTGGATATAGAATCAGCAACCTAGTACTTGTGCAGAATTTATACTTATTCAACAGAATCAGCAACCTTGTATAACGTAATACTAGCAGAGTTCCTATTTATGGACAGAATTAGCATGGTAAAATGAAAAAAATTTACCTGAGTAAACAATTTGTAGCCTGGTGTTCTCTTCAATACCTCTAGGTCTTTGTCACTGTAAAATTTAGGGTTTTGTTCAAGGGCAGTAGATGATGGAAACAATTTCTGAGTCAGCCACCAGTGTAATAATCCGGGAATATAGCGTGCAACACGGAACATCCAGCGCGAAAGGCCCTTCCTATAGTCATCCTTTACCAAATCATTAGGTAGAGAGGACCATTTATAATTTACATACGGACCTACAAGAGCAATGCCTTCTAGCCTGTCATCAATGCAGATCATTACAAAAATAAGCGTGTTCTATGCCTTACTAGTTGAACTTGGGGTCCATCTCAAAAGGTTAATCTAGGTGGAGTAGTTCAGTCTCCTTAGAAATTAAAGACCATCCTTGTGTCTAGCCGATGTGGGACTTTTCTTCACACATCTTCAACAATCTTCTCTCATACAAAGAAGCACATTATCATTACACATAATCACCACGGCTTCCCTCAAGCAATGACATCTTTTGTCCATCTTTTTCAAACAGGCAGATCATACAATTCATCGAGTTGAATTCTCGCCATCATTTGGAATTTTTGCACAAGTTCAGAGATTCATCTTGCACATGTGTATGACTAATTCTAGGGTATTGCTCTGATACCACTTGTGATGCGCAAACAAAAGTCCCACGTCGACTAAACATGGAAATGGTCTTGGCTTTATAAGGGGATTGGACTACTCTACGTAATAGGTTAACCTTTTTAGATGGAACCCAAGTTTTCGCATAACTAAAATCCGAGTAGTAAGACTAGACACGAACCTGTTTGGTATGCGTCTAAGGCAACTCCAAGTAGGGTAACATCCTAGTGAAACTCCGATTACATAGACTTTGGGTCCTAATTGTAACTTATCAACTAGTTCCTCAATATCTGATGCCTCACTTTTTAATGATCTCTTTGGATTTGGATCACTTTCCCCATATCCAGCTCTATCATACAGCACAATATATATTCTCAACTCCTCCAGTAGTTCCTGTAGACTAAAACAAAATTAAGCCACTGCATATGATTGTGAAGAATTTACAGCATTTTTTAGTTTGATCTTTATACTGGAACTAGAATGCAGTAAAGAAAGATCATTCGAAAAGAATTGAGTTTCTTTGAACAAAGCAACGAAAAAATAACGCTTTTTTCTCGAAAAATTTGAGGCCTGCTACATCAATACTTTTTTTCTTTAAACACGTTGTGAATTAATATTTTCTTTTTAAAACACAAAGGCGGTAAGAATCATTATCTAGGATCCTGAGATTCTCTTTACATCACAAACTATTGAAACATCTGCAACAATTAGACAGTAAAAGAGCTACTTTTGTACTATGATATATACAAGGCAGTCATCAAATATTTTTAGTTCTTGCTTTCCATTCTTTTCTACTGATGTTAAACCTGAAAATGCTTTCAAAACTGCAAACCCAGTTAAAGCCAACCACTTCATCAAAAAGCTGTAGTTGTTTTTGAGCACGCTCCTTCACAAGCAACTCAGACATTGAATTTTCATAAATGGGTTAGATTGTACGGCTCAACACAGTGTAGGAATAGACACAGATCTTGGCTTCAAATCTCACAGCTGCTAAGGCATGGAATTCTACATGTGAGACATAAAATGGAAAAACTATTGAACCACCTCATCGAAATACTTAAGGTTTTAACTATGATCTATTCATGGCCCTTCACCTGCCCGTCAAATTTATTTTTTCATCAAAGGCCTGATATTTTATAGTCAAACATTTATACGAGATAATTCAACAAAGCTGAATTAAACCTATGTGGAAAGACGCGGTGAAGATTAAAATATATATCAATGAGTTCCTAAGTTCTCTATCAACTTCCAAAACAAGGGGGTTCAAGTTCAACTGTCACAAACTGTCAAGATGAATGCTTGATCTAAAAAAGATCATCTCAAAATCAATCCATAAAGGGTTTTTTTAAAAAGGAGATAAATTTGTGTACCTGGGATGCCTCGAAATTCATCTCTTTAGAACTTCCAAATCCATGAACAATAATAACCCTAAAATTAGACTTGCTATTGGGGACTCCTCTTTCCCTGTAAGCCAAAAATCTTCCATCGCTGAGTCTGATTCTGGGTGAATTGCTACTGCAATCAGTAGGAAGGGTAGGCTGTGTAGGCTGCTTTGCCAATCCTATACAACCCAAGAATTTCCTGAAACCCATTTCTGTTAAACGAAAAAGAAAAAAAAATTATTAGAAAAAAATCTTCATTTCTCAGTGTTAAAATTAATTATGAGTAAATTTAAAGATGGGTTCGATTTGGGCTTAACATACAGAGTTTGTTTCGGAAGAATTGAGGTTTTTTTCCCCCAAATTTAGAGACTTTAATGATGGATTATTGAACTATACGAAGATGAGGAATTTGATGCAAAGGCATTTCTTTCTCCATCTCTCTTTTGACTTTAATATAAACGCCAGGCGATTGCTTTCAAAGGAGAATTTATCAGCCGCTTCAGAAACTTCCTAAAAAATTGAGCAATGCTATTCATTACTCAGAGAATGAAAACACAGTTTGATATGTTAAATGAAAAGTCATTTAATGGCGCATTGACGCCGTGGCGTAAATTGTGTTTTCATCCCAATAGAGATGAATAGCATTACTCTAAAAAATTAGCGGTTAATGTTGATAATTATTAATATGAGATTTACAATTTTTTTCATCTTTTTAATTATATATTTCATCAATTTTTTATTAAAAATTTTGTCAAATAAACTAGAAAAGATAAATGTGACAAATGATGCAAGAAATATATGTAATTTTTGAATTCACAATTTTTATCATGGAATATTGTTTGTTGCGATTATATTTATTGTTTAAAAGAAATACTCGGAGTTCAGTTTACTCAACATTTTTTACTTTTAAAGTTCTAGAAAAATATTTTAAAGTAAAGCCAAATATGTATTTATTTTTAAAAAATAAAATAATTTCCCATTTATGACTGCAAAGCTAGAGAATATTCGGAATATAATATACTATTTCACAAGTTGATATTTACAAGCAAATTATTTTAATTTATTTATTTGTTACTTGCAATACTAAGGCACTCTTTATGGTAATGTTTATTGTAAATGTTCCTTGCTTAAACGTATATCCCTACTATATTAAACAAATACTTGGAATATTGGAATAATTGGATTTGATTATACTAGGACTTTTAGAATATTCTATCGTGCCATTTCATGTGCCATGTGATTAAACACTATTCTACACTACATGCATATATTAGGAAAAAAATTCGCTTAAGGATCCCCTACCTACTAGAGACGTAATTGAATCCTTAAACTTTTGCACGTGTAGCAAGTCCCTAGCAGATGGATTTCGTCCATTTAGATGTCAAAAGGTCACGTGGCTCTTAACATACTTATTTGAGAAAAGAATTTCATTTTCCTCTTTTTGCCAAAATGAGATTCGACACCCCGTTAAAAGTTTTATGAAGCCCCTGTTTGACTCTACTATTTACAAGATTAAAATTCATTTTTTATCGTTGTTTGATGTGAAGTGGGTCACAGTGTGAGAATTGTGTAAGAAGCAAGTAAAAAAATGCCTACAATGACCCAACAACGATCAAAAAAGCAATTTAAATTTTGAAGAAATTTTTTTCCAGACAAGCTGTAAATATGATCACTCGACCGTACAAAACAACTAGTGTTTTTTATCAAAATTTTGTCTAACAATTAAATTTTATATCTATGTTCTAAAATAGATACAAAGATCCTTATCTAATCAAATTTACATTTACTTTGTGATGTAGTTGAATTTGGTAGGCTGAGTCCCAATTTGAAACAACTCATTTTCTAAAGTGTCGTCAGTCGTCTTCTTCTTCTTCTTCTTCTTTTTTTTTTT